GGGAGCTCGCGCGCACGCCGCCGGGTGGTCGCAGGCAGGCAGGCAGACAGGCAGCTGAAGAAACCCCCTCCGGGGTCTTTGGGGCCTTCCTGGTCTGTTGTTGCGCAGGCCGGGAGCTCGCGCGCACGCCGCCGGGTGATCGCAGGCAGGCGGGCAGACAGGCAGCTGAAGAAACCCCCTCTATCAAAATGATTTTCTACCTTATTGCCTTTGATGTAGATATCTACCCAAATCTTGCTTGTGAGGTAGCTATCAGTATGCGTCTTTTGTCTATCAGACTAAACCTTTTGAGTCTTTGACCAAATGATTGCTTTGACACTGCTAAACATCCAAGACCTCAGGGATTTCAGAGCTGAATGTATCTTGTTTCCTTGTAGAAGTGAGGGGTATTTAGCAACCAAGATCTTGTCTATTCATATACTTTTATCTTGTCAGGAATAACATTTCTTGCTTTTCTAAAAACATTACCAGGGGATTGAAATATTAAGTTAATATTTTAAAGATAGTGTCATTTAATGTTAATTTTTTTCCAATTTTATATTGCACAGGATTTAAAACATTCAGCTTAATTTACTTTTAATACTGTCCTTAATATTCATGTTCCAATAATCTAGAAACTTCCTATCCTGTCCATGTGCAAGCGGAATGTCATCCTTTTGCCAACCAGATTACATTTTACTAGATTTCCACAAAGTCAAAAGATTGATGCTTGTTGTGTTCAAAAAAACAAATTAAATCAGCAAATTAAATCAGAATAAGTGGGAATTCACTTAAATATCATTGTTAATAAAATATTTTTAGTCCTACAATACTCAGATTTCTAGCGTTAAATTTCAAGTGGCTCAGGCACAGGAGAAAACTTCCATTGCTGAAAAGCTCTCAGGTGACACTGTCGTTGCAGGTCCAAGACACACAATTTAGAAGCAGTGGTATAGAGTAGGCAGCTTAGTTCTTGGGAAGCACATGGCCTGACTGGAGCACAGCGTCAGGACAGGAGCATCGCTGCCTTGCTTCTCAGGGTAGACCAGAGTTCCCTGATTCTCTTGGGTCATCAAATCCTTTGTGCTATGGAAAAAAAGGCTCAAGAAAGCTCTGTGCCTGATTGCCTTTTGTGCCACCTTCAGGATAGCTTCAACAAGAAACACATTGAAGAGAACTCCCCAGTGATAAGGGGGTCTCTGGATAGCAGGGCTCTGATACAGTATCCTTTACAAGTGTGTGTCACTGAAAGCTCCCAAGTATTGCCACTTGTCCAAAGCCTGAGAACTCCAACCCCAAAGCTTTGGTAAAGTGGCTCTTATCATTTCCAATTGGCTGTTCACAAGCCTCTAGGAAAATCACTTTAATAATTCAAAAGGAGGTTGTTCTCTTTTAGTACTTGAAATATCTCATTCCAGGCTCTCCTTGCCCAAGGGTTTGTGTTGAAAAGTCTGCTGTGATTCTGATGGGCTTTCCTTTGTACGTAATTTGTTTCTTTTCTCTTACTGCTTGTAGTATTTTGTTCTTCTGTTGGGTTTCTGGGATCTTGATTAGAGAACAACCTCCAACCTAGACTGATGTATCCAGCAAAACTCTCTTTCAAAATAGAGGGGGAAATAAGACAGTTCCACGACAAAGAACACCTGAGAAACTACATGAGTACCAAACCAGCACTACAAGCAATTCTAAACAAGATCCTAGAAAAAGACAATGAAGGCAACAACACCATGAGGCCCAACAGAGCAAATCAAATAGGCAAGGCAAGAAATTAAAAGGAGAAGGTGAAAAAGTAAAAAGAGTCAACAAAAGGCCAATAACATGTCAATAATAAGTCAGTACATATCAGTTATAACCAGCAATGTCAATGGCCTCAACTCACCAATCAAGAGAAATAGACTGGCAAAATGGAATAAGAAGCAAAATCCAACAATATGTTGTATACAAGAAACACACCTAGTGCAAAAAGAAGCCCATAGACTGAAAGTGAAAAGATAGAAAACAATTCTCCATGTGACAGGAGCCCAGAAAAAAACAGGGGTAGCAATCTTATTTGCAGACAAAGTAAATTTCAAACCAAAACTGAATCTAGTATTATTGATGTAGGACAGTACTGTATCATACCTCTATGAATGTAAAATATCTAGTACCTGCTTTATGATACATAGTAGGGACCGTGCTTTATCAGAGCTACATTTAATGATATTACTCTAGAATGTTCTCTTTCCAGATGATGATTAAGAGGCTAATAGAAAAAATGGTGCCAGGTACCACAGCAGCAACAGAACTTGGCTGTTGTCTGGATATTATTCTTTTCCTTGGTTTTTTTTTTTTTAATGGAATGTGCTGAATGTCTATAATTTTGTTCAGATGACTGCAGAACCTGGAAAAGCTGTTGCTGCTATCGATGCATAACATACTATTATTAGTCTATATATATATATCATACACACACACATATATATATATAAATTTGGGGAAACTTTAACGGTGCTGCCAACTTTGGAAAA